CAGCACATCAAGTTGACTCTCTGAATGCCATCCTCATCTGTCACAAAAAAATATTCATGGAAAACGTTTCCCCCCAAAATTTGTACCCCCAGTGTATGCACCTCCAAAGTCGGATTTTTTTTTCTGAACTCTGCATCCAAAAAGGAACATGTGTATCAAGTTTCAGATTCCTAGCCCTTCTAGAACATGGTTAGAATTAGCGTCAGTCAGTCAGTCAGTCACCATCGTCTATATATATTAGATGAAGCAAGAACCGCTTTAACAAGGAAGTCCATATATTCAGATTCCTCTTCTTAGGATTCAAACAGTGCTCTTTTTACATAGCATATAGCATAGCTGTGGCTCGCGTCTCAACGATTCGTGGACCGTCAATAATTATGAACTCTCGCATATTATTTTTTCTCTTTGAAGAGAAGGGAAACGACATGGAAAAATTATTTTCACACTATTTCACTAGAATGTGTTTTTGTGGCCCCCAACCACCACCGAAGGGTTCCATCTGCCTCCCAGCCGAATCGAGTATGACACCCCTGCTTTGGGATCCTTTGGGGTCCACGCCCGAGTTATCTCGTGTTGGCCTCATGATGAAGGATGGAAAAAACGATGGATGACAGTGCTTATTCAAAATACTCGGACCCCAAAGGATTAATAGTAAAGTGCTCAACCAAATTCTGATTCGCTGTTTTCCTATACTGATCTGCTCGAGATAAACCTCTTGGCTTTCTCTGAAGCCCACTGATGCCCAGCGATGATCTCAAATGCAATGAAGCCTCAGGCTTCTTGCATTTGAGATCATCACTGGTTATTCTCGGCGTTCTATTGCAGAATGCTCGTGTGGAGATCGAGGCTGTAGCAATTGCTGGTGAAGTGTTGGATGTCCCAATCATCAAGCAGTGATCACACCATTCCATTCCATTACGCGTATCCTGAAGTAGTCTGAAGATGCATGAGATTCTATTTGGGGAAGAATTGTCATGAGCCTGTCTTTTACGTATTTTATTTCCATGACCATAAAGTTACCCCAAAGAAGGATTGCAAGTCATTTCATGTCTTCCATGAACAACCCACTCTCTCAACTTTGCAGTAATGGCGAAATTACAAACAGATCAAAAGTGAAGCCTTGAGCATTCAACTTCTGCCTCCTCATTGCTTCAATGTTGAAATGAGACAGGTTTCAAAATGCATTGCGCATGCGCCAAGCAAATGGCACATACGGATGAATGAGCCAGCACCATTTGATTACTGAAGTATTCCGCGAACCAACAGCGTGATCTCAATCCCTTTTCCCATCTGGACATAGACTCTAGGCCGAGATCTGGTAAGGACATCCTGGTTTTGCGAAAGGATGGAGAAAGCAGAGTGATTGCAGCCAAAGAAGAGGTGGCTGTCAATCACTCCATAGATCCTTCCACACGATCCGCGGAAATGTCTAGAAATACTTTCTGCAACAAAGACGAGGGTTTCATGGAGTGTTATCAACACGTGAACTTTGTTCTCCCCGTTCCCCGGGCCAGAATTACCATATATCTCATTGGGTTGTGCTGCCTCTTTCGTCGATTGTATCCAGGAATTCCAATACCTTCCCCAGTGTCGTCTGTGAATAAAATATGAAGTACCGTTCAAAAAGCACTGGAGACGCTTGCCAGATGCAAATATGAGTTAACTCCCAAAGTTGGTGATTCGTCGCCATCTCACATCGGGATCGGGAACCCTTCTTTGTCCGAATGTCTCGATAGATGTCTCGTCCGACATACGTTGATGTAACGTTGACAGGACATTTTCCTTGAAATGTTTATATTTTCAACATTGCGGCAATGTGGCTAAGCATCAACATCCTCTCAACATCGTCAACATATCAACGTTGAGTAAATGCTGTCGTGCCGATTGGGTTCCTCTGGAGGATTAGAATTCCAGATGCTTTCTTGAAGCACACATCTAGTTCACTCAGCGATCGGGTTGCACATCTAGCCTTATTTCCCATCGATCTTCCTCTTCTATGGAAGAAGTCAGAGGCAGCCTCGCAGGGGGGTTTAATTCTCTTTCATCTCCTTTGGAGATGCAAGCTGCTGACAGGCGCCATGTCCCAAGTCAATGCAATAATAGCCGACGATCTTAGGTGCGTTGGTTTGTACTTGTGTTCTTCCGCCCGAGGCCAGCGCGCGTAGACTTTTCCGAATCAGCAAGATGGGCCCGATTCAAATCTTGGCGGAAACAAGTTTACTAGGCTCAGACGTTTTCTCGCAAGCGTTGGGATCCAACCCGGTTATGTTCTCACTTCTTTTCTGTTTCTCATGTACATGGGCAGGCGTCGTTTGAGCCCAGAGAGAGTCACGATAACGTCGAGGTAAGATTACTTCGTCTTCGATCGGCTAGTGATTCCTGATTTTGCTAAGAGAATGAGGCCAAACCCGATATCTAACATTTTAATCTTATTAAATTACTTAGTTTTTAGTTTTCAAAGTGCATCTTTAAGTTAACGCCAATTTACTACTTTCCTCTAAACTACTGGTGGCAGACTTTTTTTTCCCTCCGCACAAACTCTTGGCCTTGCTTCGTATGCCAAATAACTAAATTCGAAATTGTGAACTAAGGTACTCCAGGTGCCTATGGACTTCGTGTGAAATTAACCTATTGTTAACCTGCGGAATTCAGCTTTATATATTAATTAAGTAGTTGTTGAGCATTTCAAAGTAAATTGAAATGAAAACAAAGAAACTCCTTCATCCCAAAGTATAGAAAAAATTCACATCATTTGTCCTGCAATTTTTGCAATGAATGCAATACATCACACCGCACGTAGTGTTGAAAAGGGCAGAGAAGCTTCTTAAGCCTTTCCTCCAGGAAAAGATGACGTCAAGAGGCTGCCTCTTTTCGCCTGATGATTACTGTGAATGAACCACTGGTACACAAGTGGCAATGAAATCTTGCTCATGGAGTTTGTGAAGAATGGGGTCTTCCACCCTTTTCGCCTCCTAGGCCTACCGGGAAGGCCTACCGGCCTACCTTTATTTCCCTAAAAACGCACCTGACTTTTACGGTGATTATAAAGAAAAAACATAACAAAAGAGGGGAAAGAGGAAATATACTGTGTACTCCTCCTGAGGTGATAAAAAAAGAGCTGCAGGAATCATCCTTTTCTACTCTAATATTTTCCCTACCTTTCTCTTCCCTTCATAATGGTCTGTTGTGATGAAATGAAACAATTTAAATTTTTTAAATAACCTTTGGGAAATTGGCTTTCATGTGGAATTTTGTTAATCCTAGTACTGCATATTGAGGCAAAGTGTTTTGATTCTTTCAATCTGATGTAATGACTTAATTAGTGACCATATTATAAGGAATTAAGGAAAAATACAGGATTTTGTCTAATACTCAGTATAAAGTAAGAATAATGGTATGTTGTCATCAGGAGGATGGGACAACCCTGTAACCGACTGGGGCAAACACATAAAAGGAAACCCATAAAGATAATGAGAAAGTCACACCATCATGATGACTTCAAATAAATTAAGTCGAGGCCAACACTGAAAAGGTAGCTAATGGGACAAAAGGGAGCCAAGTCGTATATTCAATCCGAATCTCGGATTTTGGAGGAAGGTACCCTGGCTCCTCCCAGAGGTACCGAGGATATTAGCGAGAGACTTGGATCCTGGAGTCAGTCGCTATTTGGAAGGCACCATTGTGACCTTACCATATCCGGAGCTGACTCCAGGACAAAATACCAGCGGTAAAGGTTAGCCCTGTCCCTTGGTTGTGTGAGGTGTGTGGCCCGAGGAAGAGAAAAAGAGAAAACAGTAATATAAATAACCTTCATTCAGGTTCCAGTAGAATTTTCCCCAGTCAGATCCTTCTCCCATCCAATATTAATTAATTTTTTTTCTTTTCTTTTCATTGATTACTGTTATTATTGTCTTTATTTTAATAAAGTTAAGTAATTTACTTGGAAAGATCACGAGGGTTTCCATTTCTCCAGAAATTCTGTTTGGCGAACCTGCCTTGACCCTCGAATCTAGAACGGGGCAGGTGACCAATTAATATTGATCACTTGTTACGTCACAAGTTGGATCCTCACTGGGTGTTGGTGCTCCGTTTCATTGTAGAATCTTTGCCCGGAGATGAAACTTGGGACTTGCGTGCCATATTCGAACCAACAAGCACTGATGAGTCTGATTTTAGCCCTGACAACAATTTACCTTTGAAGTCAATTTGCATCAGCATATTATTCCAAATGCACAAAAATAAAACCAAAATCATGAATTAAATTGTTTCTTGTCAACCTTTAAAGAAAAGAATTACACAATTTTTTAAAAACCTTAACCTGCAGAATGTCAACATTATCACAGGAATCTCTCAAGAGTTAAAAGAGGAAGTAGTATCTTCAACAACTAAGAACCTGAGCTTGCGTTGTTAACAGTAGCATGAGGTAAATAAGACAATGGGGGAGCTAAATATCAGGGAAGAAGCGATTTCCCACCGTTTCCTCATTCTATTTCGATTTCTATGCTAAACAAGGGGTGTAACTCAAAAGTAGAATGTTTCTTAATGTGATCGACCCGACCTATACTTCTTAGCCATGTTTTATCTTTAACAGCTTCTTGGTTCACTGGAGCGAAGAGATTTCAAGGTTATTTCCCCAAGTAAAAATTTTTGCTCTGTGGAAAGGACACAAAACGTGAAATGGCTACTTCTGTACCAAGTTTCTATCATACCTTTTACATGGTTAGAATGGTTAGCGTCAATAACTCAGTCAGTCACGATCGTCTATATACCTTATATTACAGATATTGTAGATTCACATTATAATTACTATCATTTTATTCACCTCAAGATGACGAAGAAAGGGAACCTCTCTCTTCTAAGGACTAGGTATGCACTTTTATCAGCAGTGTAATACAGGCATGGCAAGCGGCAGGATTGATTGCCAGGGAGAGGCGGAATTATTGACTTTGAATGTATTCAAGAGCATTTAATCCACTTCTTCAATAGCGGGAAACCCCACCAGTAACCCCAGTGCCTGTTGCCTCCTGGTACATCTTCATGATGGTGAGAAGGGGGTTACATAGCCGTTCAACTTCCGTTCGTTTGTGCTTAAACTCTTCCTCTTCTGCCATCTTGGAATAGAACAGTTTCTGCATCAGAAAAATGCCTCTACAATTACGACTGAATTAAAACATGTCACAGTTTGGGAACACACCTGATTCCCATCTAGCCATTTCAGGCTTTCGTTGTACTTGAATAGTATGGTGTACTTGTACCATTTGAGGATATTATCCATCTCCTCATCCTTCACGATGTCCTTCATGCTAAAGACAAAGGACTCGAACGAGTTCATGGCTGCTACACGACCCCTTTGAGCATCGTCCTCCTCTTTGTATTTCTCGGCGTCCTTCACCATTCTCTCGATCTCCTCTTCGCTCAATCTCCCTGTATGAGTATAATTATGAAATTCCATAATTTATTTAAGAGGGAAGGCTACAGTAGATGCATGTCAGAAACCTGGAGTTTTAAAATCGTTCTGGTTCTTTAAATTAAGAAAGCAAAACCATACAATGAAATTCATAACAAAGTTGTAGAGCTGTTCATCCAAAGAAAGCTTCACTCCATTCGGAGAGAAAATGTCGTTTCTCGTTTTGAAACTTCAAACACAATTTATTTTCCTCATCATACTGGAATCCAGGGGTCTGTTATTCGTCTCTGCTAAACTTAATCTACAGTGTTTTTCACTTCAGTTAGACAATTTTTCACTTGACTAAGACACCGATGCGAGGGGTATTCAGAGAGGAGACGAGGGCGCTGGTGCCCTTGGTGACTAGCGACATCTTTCTTTCCTTCGAATATTTAGGCTTTTTCATATGAATCAAATCATCACGACATCTACACTTAAGTATGGAACTCCTAGTTTCTGCGTCGATCCGCTATATCACCCTCACCATGCACCGTTGTCGAAGTCAAGTGAAAACATGTCTAACTCAAGTGAAAAACACTGTAAATCTAAGCTCATTTTAATATTGATCTAAATCGAAAATCAGCCTAGACTTAATCTAACTATGAAAAAAATAGAATCTAAAAGTGGTCTTTCAATGTGCTGAATGACCGCTTTAAGTTTCAATAATGTTTAAGTTCAGATTCAGCTTAGCAGAGGCGAGGAACAGGCCCCAGGTCTAGCTAAGTCGATCCCTGCCTGCATTCAAATTTACGATGGCACCAACCTTCGTTCTTGCCGATGGTGATCTGCTCCTCTCGGCCAGTGGACTTGTCCATGGCAGACACTTTTAGGATCCCATTGGCATCAATGTCGAAGGTCACCTCGATCTGTGGGACCCCTCGTCCAGCTGGCGGGATGCCAGACAGTTCGAATCCCCCTAGTAGATGCTGCAGCGAGGAAGGCATCCCTTACGAAAAGGTCCGATAGGAATCTAAAAAGTTTTTATAAACCTGAAACGCTAATAGGATTCCTGTATATTGCTATCGAAATTCTAAAGGACTATTTAACGGTCCCCTGATCAACATAAAAAAGAAGAATGGGAAAGAGAGGAGAGGCACAAGTTTACCATAGAATGTGAATGGCCTATTTCCATTCACTGAAATCTGTCTGAAATCTGAAATCGATCATGGGACAGTTAAGAAAGTTGGATTTAGTTTACGTTCATGGGTTCGGATTGCAACACATCCGACAATAGTCGGATGATACTTGTTAAGGGACTCTCGAGATTGCTGGACTTCGGCTGTTTGAAGGCCTGCCGCTCTTACCTTAAACTCCTTCATTACATTATAGTCCGCTGGGAACGGAGCAATAGGAACCTATTGCCCTTCCAGTGGTTCAAGCATGGGTGCCTTAATCCTGGCTTTGAAACATTTTCTCTCTCCCTCTCTCTTAATCTCTCTCCCACTCTCCCTCTCCATACAGTACATACGTGGTAAATGTATATACAGGTATATGGATTAGATGGTCACTGGCCAGCTCAATGATGATGATTAATTAATGATGACTAAGTTACTGCCATGAATCTGCTGGAGTTAGCTGTCTTCGATGAGAGCTTCTCTATCTCCAGTAGTCGAGATGATATTCACTCAATTGGTCTCACATTCCCTGCCCCGTTGGGTGTAATTTTACTGTAACTACATCAACCGATTTTGACAAAGAACATGTCCCTTCTCAGAGAAGGGGTTGCTAACTTCCTTATACAATTTGTATCCCGTATAGGTTGACGAGATTCGAGGAAATAGCATCCTGAAAAATATTCTGTCTCTTTGAATCACACTGTACAATTTACTCAATAATTAAACAGGACTCACGTTGTCTTTGGCCATGGAGCGCTCCCCCTCGTATATTTCAATAAACAAAGAAGGTTGGTTATCATAATGAGTAGTCAAAGTCTTGGCCTGCCAATTGGGGATTTTCGTGTTGCGCTTGATGAGAGTGGTCATCACTCCTCCATCTCCCAAAATCCCCAGAGACAATGGAGTCACGTCTACCAGTAGAGCATCCTGTACTTTCTCATTCTTGTCTCCATGCAAGATGGCTGCCTGAAGTTAACATATGAAGACAAAATCAATATTACATTGACTCGTCGACTCGGTGAGGGCATAAAAACATCACAAGAAGTCACAGATTGCTAATATAATGCAGAATCACACTCGGGTTAGACAAGGACCGCGGCAGCACACCTACGTAGGGCCAACGTTGGGTCCATGTTGGAATTCCACATTTGCGATGTGGGCCCAACGTTGGTTCCCAACTTTGGGCCCCAGTTGCACCCCAATATTGGATCAATATCGACAACCAAGGAATATACATATTGGTCCGGTATTGGCATCAATCTTGGACCATTATAGGGATTACTACATGGAAAAACACCAGGCCAATATTGGCGGTAAAATTTTCCTTAAATTTCTTTATCCAGTGGAGGCATTTCTATATGCAGTACTAGTACGGCCTGTACCAGTACAACCCCTTGCCCATACATATATTAGTCCCATGGAAGGGCAGGAGACATAGAACAGTATTTATACAGTGGTTGATTTTCCCTGAATGGACGAATTGTAATAAATTTTAGGAGAAGGTCCATTCTTTACCGTTCTATAGTATAAATGCGAATTCAGTCTTACATTTCCCCATTAAGTTCTCCGGATGGGGAGGCAGAGGATGGTGCCACCTAATTAATCCCTTGTTCTAATATTCCTTTGGTGTGAGAGTATTCTGTGTTCGTAGGGGTTTTCATAGGGAATATGAACTTGGTTATTTCCTGGACTCCATGATTCTGTCTCGAATATGCAGATAACAAAGGATGGATTGTCCGATTTTATTAATTGCTATAAGGAGACTAGGCGAGACATATGGCGAGGTACTAAACACTCCGGTGAGGGACGATTACAGGGAAAGAGGGAAGGGTACTTCTGTGCACTGTGCAAAAAGCGAAGCCATCTAGGGGCTTGAAGGAGAACTTCAGCATTTCCCAAAAACTTTAAAGTGCGGTCGGACACATTGGATCATCGCGTCGGTCCAATATTGGCTCGATGATGGAACGGCAATATTGGGGAGTCAATATTTAGTCTATATTGGCAATATTGGCGTAGGTGGAGCCAACGTTGCAGCAGCACGTTGGCTTTGACGTTGGCCCAACGTAGGGCCGCAGGACAGGCCTACCCCAGTAACGCCCATTATTGTCCAGCATTGAGACAATATCTGGTGCTACTGGGGTCGTATCCCAGTATCACCAGATATTGGCTCAATACTGGACCAACACGGGGTGTTACTGGGGTAGGCCTGTCCTGCGGCCCTACGTTGGGCCAACGTCAAAGCCAACGTGCTGCACGACATTCAGGGGATTAAAGGAGGTTTCGATTGAGACTATATTTCCGTACGCAATTGTCCAGCTACCCTTCCGGGGGACCTTGCCACCGAGTCTCTCTCGGTCTGACTGGAAGTACTCCAGGGAATAGTACTTCCTCCGAATGTCATCTTTCGAGGCCTCCACTTTCCTTATCAGGATTTTAACCCCATTGTGATTTCACTCATCACACATGGATAATGCTTTCTTTCATCCTCCGTATATCGAGTGAAGCCCCAATGTGAATCATACTTCCTCCACAATTAACAAGAGTCTGTTTGGACTGCTTAACCTGTTTAAACAAATGAACTGAGAAATTTGAGTGTCTGCCTTCGAGTGAGGTTCTCTATGGAGATAGATCTAGTACCGCAAGAAAGGTACTGGGGTCTTAAATTAATGAGTCACTCAATGATCCCACTGAAATAGCGGCTGCTTAGCTGCCATCTTGCATCAAGTGTGGGAAGCTTTTTGTTCAAATGAGATAGATGTCTCATCCTGAGATATGACAGATGTTGGCTGCCGCCCTAGCGCCGATGCTGGGTCTACATTGGCAGCCCACTGTGATGGGGACCCAAGCTTCCCCACACGCAGTCAATTTTGGCCCAAGGTTGTGTGCTGCCGGGGGACCTTGACGTCATTTCGGAGATAAGAATGTTGCGTTGAATAAACGGACGATACATGATCCTCACTTGAATAGCAGCACCATAGGCCACAGCTTCATCAGGATTGATGCATTTTTTTACTTCCTTGCCTTTGAAGAAATTCACCAAGAGCGACTGGATTTTTGGAATGCGAGTCGAGCCACCGACGAGGACGATCTCGTGGATGGATGACTCATCCAGCTTGGCATCTCGGAGAGCCTGCAGAGATACTTAACGGTGAGGACAGTCTGGATCAAGATTCCAGTCGTTCGAGACTATCCAGCATCTTACTATCTCAACTGGTTTCAGTGTGGAGCTGAAGAGATCAGCATTGATCTCTTCGAAGCGGGCACGAGTGATGGAAGTGTAGAAGTCAGTGTCCTCGAAAAATGAATCAAGTTCAATAGTAGTCTGAATAGATGAAGACAGAGCGCACTTAGCGCGTTCACAAGCCCTGCGCAGACGACTTAGAGCTTGCTTGTTCTGGCTCATGTCTTTCTTGAACTTCTGCTGGAATTCCTGTATGAGTAGAGAGGATGCATACTTGCGATTAAACAAAATAAGGAAACAAGGTACGAGACAAGGGCATTTCTTTGATATGCCACAACTTAACTGTACAAAGTGGTCGACCATTCGATTGTCGAAGTCTTCACCACCTAGGTGAGGATGACCAGCCGTGGATTTCACTTCAAAGATTCCACCTTCAAGGGCCAGTATGGAGATGTTAAATGCACCACCGCCGAGATCAAAGATGAGGACATTGCGCTCTTCTGCTTTCTCATCGAGACCGTAAGCAATGGCAGCAGCGGTGGACTCGTTCATGATGCGTAGCACGTTCAATCCCGCAATGGTCCCTGCATCCTTGGTAGCCTGTCGCTGAGAGCCATTAAAGCAGGCAGGCACTGTCACGACAGCATCAGTCACCGTTCTTCCAAGATATGCTTCAGCAGTTTCCTTCATCTTCGAGAGCACCATGGAACTTATCTCCTCAGGATAGAAAGTTTTGGTCTCCCCCTTGTATGCAACCTCGATGCAAAATCGACTCAGGTAACCCTAACCTCCAGCCTTTCACAATAATTCTGCATGGTGCTTAGGACAAAATTCATGCCTACCTGAATTTTGGGCTTTCCGCCATCACTAAAAACAGTGAAGGGCCAATGCTTCAAGTTATGCTGAATGGAAGGGTCATCAAATTTCCTACCGATGAGTCTCTTGGCATCTGAAAGAAATAATCTTTTAGCGAAATAAATGCACACAATAAGCTAATTTGCGTTAGTTTGGCAGAAGGGTTATATCCAACAATGACCTTACCAAAGACTGTGTTGTTAGGGTTCAAGGCTATTTGATTCTTGGCACCGTCCCCAATCAGACGCTCTGTGTCGGTGAAAGCCACATAGGAGGGAGTCGTTCGATTTCCCTGATCGTTGGCAATGATTTCCACCGTTCCATTTAGGAATACTCCAACACAAGAGTTACAGGTTCCCAGATCGATTCCAATAGCAGGCGCTTTGAATTTACTGGAAGCAAATCTGAACTGCCAGTAAAAATAATAATGTATCTTGAGAATAGGAGTGAGGGGTTGATTGACTCAGCACGAACACTCTTAATAAGAAAAATAATATTTCTTTTTATGATGAAAATTGGCCCCTCTCGTTGGAAGTTCGCTCTATCATTGCATTATGTACTAATGTGAAAACCATTTTTTCATTGCCTTTCCTTATCTTCAACCCCAACCTCACCTCCTCCCCCTTTCTCTATGGAATTCACTAACGTTAGACCTAGGCCTAACCGGTGGTCAGTCGTCGGGTCAAGCCTAGACCTAAATTTTTTCGTTCAAATGGAACTCAATCCTCGACTTACTGGGCCAATTATGCCTATAATAATTATTCCCTGGTCTTTGAGATCTCGTCGAGGATGTGTAACGTTAGGCCAAACGCATGCCTATTAAATCTTTCATAGCCTCTTAAGGTACTAGGAACGCCAAAAAATCGACCCTTCTGGATGGAAAATCTGTTCTGTAATTGTTGTAGAGTGCCTCAAGGAAGGCCTCTGGAGCCACTCACTGAAGACCTCAGGTGAACCGCATGGCCAGAAAGTAGGGTCAAAGGTCACGGCTGACCCACTCCTCTTCGAAAGCCATTATCTCCTCATTGCTGAATCACCTAAATTGCTGAAACTTGCACCATTCTCTTTGTCTTAAATAGATCTTTAAGATGAATGTAAGAATGATTTTATTCGTTCGTTATTACGAGCGTGGTAACGCGAAAGGCAATTTCCTCGAAACCTTTGCACCTCCATAACTTGCGCAAAAATCAATGAATCTGAAAAAGCATATGTGAGTTTATGCGTTTCCTCCTGCTCTATATTTGTGGGAAGTTTCATTAAATTATCTCTTTGCGTTACTCAGGAAAGTACGAAAAACTGCTCGAAAACTTCCGTTTTCAGCTTCCGTTTTTCTTGGGAACCATCGAGGTTGCGAAAGGGACACCCGATAACGAAATTGTAGATACAGTTCTTGAGAGTGGTTTCCCCAAGTTTCACGGCCCTGTGTGAGTTCCTTTTTGATTCTTTCGGTTTTAAACTGACTCAGATCATGAATGTTTGGGGATCACGGTCAACTTTCCCCTCTTCTGCCTTGACCCTCTGCGATTCATTCAAAATTGCGGTTCGTATTCAAAACGGGAATGTCTGAGGAGTGATTTGACACATGCATCAATTGTCTATTCGCATGTAACACTGAATGGGAAGGAGTTTTACTTGAAACGTTTCGCGATTCCGGCGTAGCAGACGACACCCTCAGGCTCGTCTCTGCTCTATGGCCCTCCCCTCTCCTCCTTCCCGCACGCTCCTGGCAACCTCGTTCGAGAGTAGGTCTGGCAGGCGCCACTCTCCCCTCTCCCCCTTACAATAAGCGCTTGATTATGTCATGATTGGGTGCTTCTCCCTACGTTCACAACTGACTCTGCCTATTTTTTTTGCAGCAACTAGACTTTTGCAGCAACTAGATAGCAGACGCATTATTTGTCACACTATTATACAAGCATAATTACCGTTGTCATTCCATGTCCCGTACGCTAGTTTCTTGACTGAAAATAACGCTGTACCAATTGCGCTCCTATTTTGAATTGGAACACGTGGGGTCTCTCGGATCCGATCGAGAAGAACATGAAAAGCAAATACGGGCTACCAGACTATCGTAACCTAAAATAATACGGAGTAGTAAATTCGGAATTTGTTAATCAATGAAGAAGCCTGCTTGTAGTAGCTACCCATCGCTGCTTTCCTCAAAAGCAACCTACAAGGTTCACCTGACAATGCATCGCATGTAAATTTTTTTTTGGAATGTTCTTAGTGAAGTGGCCATCTCCTGAAGGGTTCATGCCTGTACTCATAATTGGTAATTGGTACGCCAGGAATATTTTATTCGTTACATTATTTAAATATGAAAGCGGCCTGTTGTGGATGGAAGATGCTTCCCTGAAACGTCCTGTTTCCTAGTCTGCTTCATCTCAGCCCATATCCCTCAAATAGTGGGACATTTGTTGCAGTCTAATTTATAATATTTATAACTTGCAAAATAATGATTAAATTATTTTGGATTCCATTGTGAAGGAAGCACTTGAGAAGTACTGTATATACATATTGTCAGTGGGTTAATTTTACAGTTTCTAAGTGTTACTAAGAAGGAAGTATTTTCTGGGTAGTTTCATGACGCATAAATTCCAACTGTTGCTAAATGGATGTTTTTATTTTTTAATTGAGGTTCACTAATAACCATATAAATAAAAACTTCTGACCAGTTACTCCAATGTAAGAAACAAAATTTGCGCAACAATAAAAAAATAAGCGTGCCTTGCAAAGCAGAAAGGTTAGTGCGTACGAAGGGAACGTGTGAACAATTAGAGGCAAATCAAAGATCCATAGCCTGAGCGAATTCCTGCCTCTGATTCAAGAATGATACCATGAACGTTCATGCATTCATATTCCAGTTTCCATTCCCCCAGTATATTCGAGCATCCGTTTCCCCCCCATATAGATGATACAAATTAAGGACTAAGGATGATAAGAAGGGTAAGCCACATTTTGCAATTTCAGGGATCTTCCGAAAGTTTGAGAATTAGATTGCCTTCTCTAAGGAAGATATTTGGGTAACGAGGAATTTCTTTGATTTACAAGATCCCTTCTTGGGGCCTTAGGATCCACGTACAGAATTTTCTAAGTTTTGACCAATATGCTCAGAACTCATGACGAACAGGTAGCAACGTTAAGCAGAGGCATTTATTAATTAGCTTAAATGAATTGAAAAATGAAACTAGGGTGCTGCACAGAGGCATATCCTGCCTTTCCGTACTGGACGTCGGTAGTGATAATTGCCAAGGGGTTCGAGTGAATCATATGGTTAGGGAATACAGCATATTTTCCCTGAGTCATAAGCTACAGGTACAAGTGTACAGGCATCGCAAAACGCCGTGGCAGAATGAAGAATCATCGCAAAGTCTACAAGGACCTTTACCCCTAAAGGGCGAATTCATCCATGCCATGGTTGCAACGTTAGCTCATTTCTCGGACTTCATGGAACCTTTCGACGGGAACTTGAAAATTCGTATCCCCTTCCATCTGTCTGCAACAATGGTCAATATTATCCGCCCCCTAGAAATCGTTGACTTCGAGGAGCATGGAGTAAGATCATTATTTAGCTTCAACTACAGTCTTTCGCTGCAGTAGATAGGATTTTAGGGGTGTCAGGTGAGTTCCCCGACGGTCAATTCCCCGAATGGTCATTTCCCCGACGGCCAATTCCCCGACAGTCAATTCCCCGAACGGTCAGTTCCCCGATGTTGGTCACATATCAGCGAAGGTGGCGGATGGAGGGCAATCGACCGCACTGTCTCTTACACGAATAAATTTCCTTTTTATGGATTTAATAAAATTCAGATACCAATGAAGTCCTAATCTGAGTGTTGCTGCTCAAATGACGCTATTTCTGCCTCAGGGATAATAGCCAAACATTGAATACCACCCATTCTCCATTGAAGCAAACATATATAATTGAAAACATCTAGTAGTAGGAAAACATCCAAAATGGGTGCCCCAGGGCATGTACCTCCAAAGTCGGATTTTTTCTGAACTCTGCATCCCAAAAGGTACTGTACATGTGTACCAGGTCTCAGATTTCTAACTTCTCTAGAACATGGTTAGAATTAGCGTCAGTCAGACAGTCAGTCACGATCGTCTATATACTGTATATACTGTGATGCACTTGAAGCCACACGTGAAAATGCAACGAGAAGACAATTTCCTCTAACACGGGTATAGTACGAGCTTTACCTAGTGTGTACTGTTTTATTTAACATTACTACAACACAACATACTGTTGCATTCCAATGTCGAACATTATTTTCCCTAAAATTCAACATCCGCCACAGTGACACATTTGAATTAATTTAATGTCACTTTTGACACTCCCAAGCAGCACAGCAACGCATTTGAATTTCCTTGCCGTATTTGACTTTCTTATTACCACATTTGACCTAGAAAACCGATACTTATAAAAATATAGGCATCAGTAGCCGACAGAAAGAGTCACCAAAGCGTCAAAGAACGTTCAGTCCTGGTTTTTCATCAGACCTCGTAAGTTCTCGGTCGATGTTTTCTGGGTTCATTTGTAAAAAACCTTCTTAAAAAGAGAATCTAACAAATTACCATATCAAAGGAAATACCAAGAGGGAAACTTTATTTTTCATCCGAGCTTCTCTGAAAGACCAAGGCCTACAACCAGTGGCGTATTTTACAGGGGGGTAGAGGGGGCAGCCGCCCCCCTGGCGCCCCTGGGACAGAGCTTGGCGCCCCTTGGAGGTAATAATTTCCCCACCTGGTATCGCTCGGGTGGGGTTTGGCGTCCCCGCGCTGTTGCCCTGCCCCCCATGATCCCTCAGCAAAAATACGCCACTGCCTACAACTGAACATATGATATCGTTTGTGCAAATGACGCCCTCACTGCCTGCTCTTTTCTGAGATATTTGCTGGAAATCCTCAATTGTTTCTGCTCTATCTGGTCTTCCCATTGCATGGATCAGGTAGACTTAGGCCTATCTTTCTGTCCCTGACATTAAAATACAAAAAAAAGTTGAAGGAAGCCGCGAGAGTAAGATTTCAGGGTAAAGTTGGTAAGTTTCAGGCAGTATTTCTTTTACAGCGTGTCCCAAAATAATAAATG